GTAAAATGACCCTGAAGAGTGTTTATTTTAACATCTAACGTTAAGTGATCATCTTCCCTTAGGGATTTTATAAAATTCCTAATTTCGCCATTTCCCTGCGACATACATACAGTCGGATTGATTGATTGAATATTAACGTCGCACTGTTCACCTACTCGAGGGCTTTTGTAACCACGTAATTTTGAACCAAGGTCAAGTGACGTGGACGACACCTGAGCTGGCATCCCCTCTCCTAACTACCACACCACTCCAACAGGAGGACGTTTCAGCTCTCGACAGATTTAACGTGCATCGCTGCCCTACACGGACGGCGGGTCTTTAGTGGTACTGGGCTCGAACTCGTGACAAGGCAAGTCACGATCCGATACCACTCGGCTACCACGGTCTATATATAACGAAGTTGCCAAATCCCGAAAAAAGTTCGTAATATGAAAAATCCATTATGTAGAGGTTCGTCTTTCAATTTTCGTTATAAACCACATAAAACAAAATTTTAAGTTCATAAACATTGTATATTTAAAAAAAGTAATTATTCCCAACTTTTTATAAAATAACATATATTTATTTTATATATCTTACCTATAAAAAAAAAAAGAAAGAAAGGAAAACTGCAAGGAAAGTTTCTCGACGCCTTTATCAATTTCCTGAAGAATTAAATTTTATTTCTTTGAAGCTCAAGCGCTTACGTATTGAAATTTTTGAACTAGAAGAAACGAAATTGCCTGTACGACTGATCAATACTACAAATGAACAGAGACTAGTTCAAAAACACGAGACTTCACTGAGGGTGAAAGAGGACATTGAAGATGTTTCCATGAATGTCTTTCTGTACAATATGGGTTAATAGCTGCATTTCTTGAATGAAATGCTCAGAATTCTATTGCTCTCGGCGAGTTAGGCACCTAATAAAAACAGTTCAAAATTTATGACCACCATAAAATGTGCTAAAAGAGAGAATAAATCGAAATGTCCATAAATACTTAAAAAAAGGGAGAAAAAAAATTGAATCGCATGAGAAAAAGTTCGTTATATAGAAAGAGAACTTCCCTTTCGGGAGGTAATTTTACGAAGAAAATCGTGAAAAGTTCTTGGTTCCAGGAAAAAGTTCCCTATAAAAAAAATTAGCAATATAGAGGTTCTTAATATGGAGATTCGACTGTATATAATTACCTTTTCTCATTTTTACAATATTAAATTCTCTAACCAGAATTGAATATCAAGCAAGAACCTGAGAGTTTGATATAAATTTATTTTTAAGAGTAAAATTCACCAGATTTCACAATTTTTCCTGAAATTGAATAAAAATGTAAAAACAAATAGAAAAAATTAATTTCACATAGAGTAGGATTTAAAATGAAGCATTTTTATAAGAAACCCAGTGGCTTGGACCTAAATATATGCATAAGTAAAATTCTTAAATGAAACATTTCCTTGTAAGAGACGAAGAGCTAATAATAAAACAATTTATGAATGAGATATTTATTTGTAGGAAATTAAAAGCTGTGATAATTAAACAGATAAGCAATTTTTATACAGTTAAACAGGTAGGCTTTACTAATGAGATTCTTAAGGATGTTATTAATATCTGGTATACCAATACCTGCCTCTCAAATATTGGGAGAGTCATACCAATATCCTTTTTTTTATTATATCAAATCGATTACTATTTTTACTGTACCAGTGTTTTATACGATAAAAGCCATACTCCATAAAATAAGATAGGGAAAGAATGACATACTTTAGCATTTCTACAAGAATTTTCTATGGAAATATTTCTTTTTCTCACGAACATAGAGAATTCTATAAAAATATATCAGTTTCTTCTACAACAATTTTCTGGACTTTCAACATGACATATTGTTTCATTATTATTAAATAGTAACACAAATATCTTATCATGGACCCCTTCATTCATACCATGGATCGACGAAGTAATTTTTTCCCCTTTTGGACCTCTTTCAAAACAGGGGTCAGAGAAAAAGTTTATCACAAGTTTGAGAATAAGTATGTTGAAGCAATGCGAGGGTTAAAGGAGACGGACAGCATAGTTCTGAGCCCAGGTCAAGGAACAACAACATCTGAGCAAGTAGCACCAATTTCCAAACTTCCACATCACGCCTACGTGATGATTGAGTCATGACAGATTTAATGTGTATCAGCCTCTCTACACGGTGAATCTTTATTGGCATTTGGGTTTTAACGCAAGACTCGACAACGAGTTCGGCCATGAGTTCATGACCATGGTCACTTGCTACAACTGAGAGTCTTAATTACGGCAGTGAAATGTCGTTACGAAACGATACTGTAACGTTTCCCGCCTCCCAGCTGTAAATCGGCGTCTTTGTGGAAATAATCATCACACGTGTATTCTGCACCTGCATTTTGAAAGTTATTGCGTGGTCCCACCTTGGCCCTCCTCCGCAACACTTGACACCACGAGGGACTCTTTTCCCCGCCAACCACAAGATTGTAACGGGATGCTACATGGCACAGGCCCCTGATCCCCGGAGAGAGGGAGAACGAGAAATGTTTGAACCTTCGAAGTGAGCGGACGCCGGAAGTGGCTCCCCTCTCACAAACGACATTATTTGAACTCTAATAATCTTTTAATAAGTTTAATAACTTCAATGTATAATAGCTGTAACGTAAATAAACTAAATGTTTAAATTATTCAACATCACGCTACCGTTATTTATCTCAAAAGTCATAATAGACAATATTTCTACATAATCTGATTTTTAAAAAATATTAAAATAGAAACTTTTTTTTTTTTTTTTGGAAAATAAAATTTCTAACAAATTTTAGTACATTCATAAGATTTTCATTTTAGAAACGAAAATAAATTTTTTTAAGCAAAGACTGTTTCAAGTTTTTTCAAAAACCCTCCAGAGTCGTAATCAGCTTAAAATTATTTTCCCCTCTTTATTATGGAACATTTAGCTTTTATTTCTATCCTTACAAAAAATAACATTATTACTTTAAAAGATTACTTCCAGATGTTCATGAACGATCCGATTAAATCCCTCTTACCATTTAACACCTCGAAATAAAAACAGGTACATAAGATAAAAATAATTTTGTAGTCGAATAAAAACAAGATACATTAGACAGCTTTAGATACAATTATTATTATCAGGATAATCCAGATAGGTTAGACACGCTTCATCAGGAGAAACAGTGTGTACTTTTATTTTTTTCCATTGTCGCAAAAGCGATCGCGGGATAACTTTTTGTTTATGGTAGCATTTTCTTTTCTTTGTCACCAGCAGGTGTTTTAGATTAATAGATGACAGTCATTTTTCTTTTTCGACCCTTGCTTCAGTGATTACTCTTTAGTAAAAAAGTCATTTAATACTATTTACTTCCACGATGATTTAACTAGAGATCGCTTTATAAACTACAACGCGTTTGAAGAAAATTATATATTATTTTTTTTATCAATAAATACGTTGAGGACAGACAGAAGAAACATTAAAAAGTGAGATGACAGCTTTAGCCATTGTTAAGACCCATTTTTACCGATCTCTGTTGTGTCTAGTCAGACAACGATAGTCCAACGAGTAAAACTGCAAGCTTTATACTTAAGGAACGTATGAATATAATCGTAAAAGTTACTGTATATTAAGTTCAGTTTGGGCTTCAACTTTAATATCTTATGTATCAAAGTTGTGAGAATGAGGTAACTGCTCAGGTATTACCTTTGTGGCTAAAAATTTCAACGTATGCTGACAATGTGTTTAATTTATTCTAAATTAATCTTAATTCATATTAGTCTGACTTGTGTTGTGTTAAAACACGACATAACAGTAAAAAAAAAAAAAAAAAAAAAAAATCCACAATTCTATAAATTTGATAAATATTTTCTAAATAAGCCTATTGATGATTTTTTTATGTCTTTTAAAGTTACCTTTGTTAATTAATCTGCGTATTTTCACACCAATGCCTTTTTAGGAAAGCAAAATGTATGATAGTTCTACGAGTGGTTCCCGCATTTTTCACAAAATTTCCCTAGAGTATTCATAAAACAGATAAACGGAACCTTATTTCAACTCCGTATTTCAGTAATATAGGAATAAGAAACTTGCATAACTAAAATAAAAATGTTGCATGACGAAAAATATACAGTGGTTGTCAAAATTGTGGATAATCTTTAAAATTATGTTTTTGAAGTTTGTATGCATATAGAAAATTTTATGTTGCACAAAATGCAAAGTATTTTATATCATTTTAAAGAGAATTTAATACTAAATTCGATACAAAAAAACAAAATTCAAATATTTGCAACGCAAAAAAAGTTATGCTACAATAACTACCAATATACATTAGATATTGCTAGTAGCAGTGAGTTATCAGTGCTTAGTGGGGTAGTTATGTATATTATTTGTAATTACAGCTTCACATCGATATTTCATTGAACTAAAATAGTTTTAAGCTCGTCATTCGTTTTTTCATGATACCAGAAAAAAAAACAATCGATCCTTAATTAATTTATTTTTATTTCATGGGCACCTCGTTCAGGCAAGAGTTTTCAAACGGTGCCACAAGTTTTCGATATGATTGAGGTCAGGACTGTTTTCTGTGGCCAAGACAACATCTCAATGATCTTAGAACAGTACCAGTCTTTCAATTACTATACTGTGTGGCAAGAAGCAGAATCTTGCTGAAATATAAATGACGCATTGTTGGTAAATACATTCCTGATGGAAGGCAGATTGATTGATTGAATATTAACGTCGCACTGTTCAGCTACACGAGGGCTTTGGGCGACGGACCACGTAATTTTGAACCATGGTCAAGTGACGTGGACGACACCTGAGCTGGCACCTCCCTCTCCTAACTACCACACCACACCAACGGGAGGACGTTTCAGCTCTCGACAGATTTAACGTGCATCGCTGCCCTACACGGCGGGTCTTTAGTGGTACTGGGCTCGAACTCGTGACCAGGCAAGCCACGATCCGATACCTATACCACTCGGCTACCGCGGCCACAAATATCTTCGCCCATCGTGGGGCTCGAACCCACGACCCTGAGATTAAGAGTTTCGTGCTCTGCCGACTGAGCTAGCCGGGCGCGATGGAAGGCAGAAGTTTGGGTTCTAGAATGGTGTCAATGTATTTATTTTATGACATTCAGTGTCCCATCGATGATATGAAGGCGATCGATACCATCTGCTGATATGCATGACTAAATGATAAAACTATGTGCGTACTTCACAGTTGCCTGGATGAAATCAGGATGTAACATTTCTGCTATTCTACGTCTTACATATTTTAGGCTATCACTACCGAATAACAATATTTTAGTTTTGTCTCTCCATATAACTTGTGACCAATAATCATTTGTCCAATTTAAGTGTTCCATTTCCCACTGCAGTCTTTTTAGCGCTGATGTAGATTGAGATATGGCTTTTTTCGTGGAATTCTACCTTTTGGTCTTGCATCTGCTAATCTACTCCTGATTGTTTTTGAACTGACAGAAACACCAGCATCACTCAGATCACTTCTGATGGTGTCCATGATCTCTGAGACATAGTATTTTTGTTCTTCTGTCATCAACAGATGTAGTGTACCTTTTTTGTTAATTAAATTTGTCTCCTGACATAAACAAAACTTTCAGTCTCCAGATGTAGCCACTGAATTACCCACCTATTATGCAGTTTTAAGATAGGAACCACTTTTTCGTCACGCATGTGTCCAATCTACTCTTTTATTTGATCTCATTGCTTTTTGACTAAACATCATTGTTAACCTGACCGGAAAACAGTCTTGATCTCAATCGTATCGAAAACTTGTGGCACCGTTTGAAAACTCTTGCCCAAATGAGGTACCCATCAAATAAAAAAGAACTAATTGAGGATATACCGTAAAATTCGGCGTATAACGCGCACTTTGAACAAAAAAATAAGATCGAAACTTAGGGGTGCACGTTATACGCCGGATATAAAAATGATAACTTTAAAAATAACAAAAGAATTGAGCATAAAAAAAAATTTACTTCTATATGTATCGAAACACCGTTTTAAAGAAACGACTTACAATACAAGAGTTGTAGTTCTAAAAGTATACTATTTTTTTCAAAAGTCTGGGGTAATACTTCGAATAAATGACTTCCAAACACAAGAGAAATGTATACTAATATTTCAGATTTCTACGTTAACAAGTGGGTGCGCGTTATACGCCGGATTTTACGGTAACTGTTTCTAGGTATCATGTAATAACGAATGAAGAGCTTAAAACTGTTTTTAGCTCAATGAAACATCGATGTGAAGCTGTAATTAAAAATAATGGCTACCCCACTAAGCAGAGATAACTCACTGCAATGAGCAATACCTAATGTATATCCATAGTTATTCCAGCATGACCTCTTTTCCGTTGTAAATACTTGAATTTTATTTCTTGTATCGAATTTAGTATTAAATTTTCTTTAAAATGATATAAAATATTTCGCATTTTGTGCAACGTAAAATTTTCTATAAGCATACAAATTTAAAAAAACATGAGAATTTTAAAAAGTGCCCACAATTTTGGCCAGTAGCGCATACAGGAATGTTTCAAGGGAGGGGGTCCGAGGTCGAAAGTTCACCATTCTTATATCATGTTTTTCGGGAACAAAATACAGCAAAAAATTAATTATTGAATAAATAATTAGCATTAATTAATAAAATTAATCATTAATAACAAATACGTAATGAAATTTTTCGTACTATATACTTAGAATTATAATCAATCGGGAAAAAAAATCAAAGGCTTGGGGGGGGGTCCGGACCGCACCCCCGCCCTTGTGTGCGCCACTGCACCACTGTATACATTAATTTAATAATTACAAATACATTTACATAAAAATGCTTATTTTTTTACAAACAATCTTAAGAGAGAAATATTTATAGAAAACAAATTAAGTATTTTCAGTTTTCAGAATTATAGCGTTAAATATTTAGATAGAAAACCCTGCTAACTAGCGCACTGTGAATGAAAATTAGCACCAATGAGGTTAGCTGCGATTTCTTTGTCAAAGCATAGATCTTTCAGAATGAAAGACGAAAGATAGATACCTTTAAAAACACATCTCAAATTATACAACCCGAATGTTACCAGAATCTTCTTGAAAATCCACTGTATCTTTTCTGATAACAAAAATAATAATTCACAAAGGGATTTTTTTTCTGCAATAATTATATACGGGCTTACTACCTTCTCAGCTAATTTTTATATTCAAAGTTTAGAGTATAACATAAGCTATCTTCTCCAAAAAAAATTAATAAAAAACACACAGTTTTAATTACAAAACTGTCTTTTTATATTCTCTGACATGTATCTGATTTTTTCACTTTTTTTGTATAACTATAATGCGATCATTCCTTTTATTATAAAGGATAATCTAATATGACAATGAGTTACAAGAACTCTTATTGTTAAAACTGAAAATGATCAGCATTATTCAAATTATCTTAATTTCCCTTGCATAATATTATACTTAAATTAAATTTTTCGAAAAAGTACATGCCAATAAGTTCAAAAATGAATTTGCTACACGCGTTTCGTTCCATGTTTTGTGTATCTCAACCGATAACAGAAGTAACTAAGAAATTTTAAAAGATAAATTTTGAGTCTATTGAAATTGTAATCTAAAGACTTACACCACTATAGCTCTCGCTCACCCAAAGCTGAGTACTTAGGTCGCAACACAGTTTACAACACCAACATAAACAAAGGAACCGAGTTGATGATGAAGAGGATTCTCAAGTTTCTTATCACCAAAAACCTGGACAGTCTGAGAGTGATCTGACTTTTGAGTTTGTTGAATGACAGGTCCCCAAGCACCGGTAATCTCTCTCTATGGGAAAAATACATTCCTCTTTCTTTCTTACTCAACTGAATGATACAGCTAAAAAGTATCAGCGAAAATATTTAGAGCACGTAATTCATTTTCCACTTTAAAAATCAATTTGGATGACTGAAGACTCATTAAAAAAAGATTCATTGTCAATTTTCGAGGGGTTTTTTTTATCACACAAATTCATTTTTTTTCCCCAAAGAAAAAGTCTGAATTTAAAATGTAACGAAAGCTTAAGAAATGAGGTATGACATTCAATTAGTTTAAATAAAATAAAAGTGCAACTCAAAGAAAAGTCGATGCGAAATTAATTCCTGTTCCACACACACACACAGAGAGTAAAAAAATTCCAAGAAAAATTGCTAAAGAAATACGACAGAATAATTGAAACACTTAAATCTTATTTAGAAAAGGTACACAAATCTAAATGTAATTGATATAGGAGACATTGTATCTATTCGACTTGATTAGAATTTGAAGAAATAACTTATAAGGCTGTAATTAGTCAGGATTAAATCAATATCAAGATTAAGAGTATTTGAGAGTCAGTGGCGTATCTAGTCCTGAATGCGTCCTATATCGAAAATTCCTTGATGCCCCTCTTTTGGGCCCCTTAATACTCTACGAATTTTTGCTTATACATATTGGGGCCCCTGTAGTTTAGGGACCCCGTATCATTAATACTAAAGTGACCATTTTTATTATCATGAAAATGAGGACGAAAAATTTAAGAAAAAATTACAACTTAAGTATATGAAACGTTTTATTAATTCAAACAAAAATACGCTAATAACGCTCACATTCTTTTTAATTATTATCTTAAAAGAGTATTTTTCTATTGAGTATTTTGTCAGTATATCATTTTCTTTTATATCGGGAAGTTCGGGCAAAAAATATCCTACATACTGATTTTTACGGTAAGCACTGTAGCTGAAATATTAACATTCAATTTTGATTTCTCACTAGTCGCTTCACAAAAATCATTACTAACTGAAAAAAACTCTTTCAACTGCTGCATTCGTTCCAGGGCAGCACAACGTAAAAATTCAACAAGAATAATTACATTTTCATATGGAATGTGTTCATTTTTGAAATGGTTAAAGTAATTTCACCCATATTTTACCAATTTCTTAGCAAGGTGAATTTCCAATTGTTCTAATTTATTAGAATTTAAGTATATATTCAGTCTTCTTTCTACTTCAAACAGACAATTGTCATCGGTTTTAATATCAGGCATTTCTTTCGATAAAAACTCAATGTAATTTTTTTTATATCTGCCCACTTTACTTGAGATCAAGTCAAAAAATACCATTGAAAACTGTTACGTCCTGTGATATTTGTTTCAGACCATTCTTCGACATTTTGGAAACGTGTTTGGTTCATCTCTGAATACAGAGATTAACTGATCAGTTTTAAAATATTGAAAAGGAGGACACTCTTTTCGAGGAAGGACAGGACCTATAAAAGGAGGACTATCCTCCCTAAAGGAGGACAGTTGATCACCTTATTAATACGGCTGGTACGGCGGTAGCTACGCTCCTGATTAACGTCGGCGACTACAAAGTAACACAAGGGCTATGGCGATGAACCTTTTACTTATGAACCTCAATCAAGTGATGAGGAAAACACAGTCTGGCACCCCCTCTCCTAACTACACACCACGCCAATAGGAGGATATTGAGCCTCGACAGATTTAATGTGCATCCCATTTTCTACACGACGGGTTTTTAGTGGCTCCAGGACTCGAACACGCTATACTCCGACCACGAGTTCGTGATCGTAACTACTAGGTTACCGCAACCATCCAAATTGATATCGATTGATTGATTATTAACGTCGCACTGTTTAGCTACACGAGGGCTTTTTGGCGACGGGCCACGTAATTTTGAACCATGGTCAAGTGACGTGGACGACACCTGAGCTGGCACCACCCTCTCCTAACTACCACACTACACCAACGGAAGGACGTTTCAACTCTCGACAGATTTAACGTGCATCGCTGCCCTACACGGCGGGTCTTTGGTGGTACTGGGCTCGAACCCGTGACAAGGCAAGTCACGGTTCGATACCTATACCATTCGGCTACCGCAGCCCCAAATTGATATCGAAGATCTGAGAATAAATTAAATCCTCTCTAAAAATAGTAACATCAAATGAGCATAATAAAAGAGATTGGATGTACATCTTTTGGAAATAATGATTTCTTAAAAATTATGTCATTGAATTTAGACATACGT